ATCTCAAGTACCTTCCAAAAATAAACACCGTATGATAAGAAAGGCCCTTATCCGATTTGTCGCATACTCGCTGTGTATCTCTTACCAAGCTTCGTATTTTCAATAAACTTTTTGACATGTAGGCAGTATGTTTCTTGCTGGTCGGATGATAAACATGCGCAGCTCAAATTGGCTATCAAATAATTGCAAAACGAAATGCCCATATAAGTATTATTATTTATTATATTAGGAACTGCACGGGTAAGTAACACAACTTGAACACTACCAATCACAATTCAAATGTAATATAGGGTCTTATCGTCTGTCGTTCCTATTGTAGGACGCCTTTATGGCCTCCTTGATTTTCATGGTATTTTGTCTCCTTCAGAAAGGGTGCGGTATTTATAGATTTCGACTCTGTTCCGTGTCAAGGTCAGCATTCTCCTATTGTGAGACTATGTTTTGTTTTTAAATTTCACGCTGATATAACAGATGATATAAATCAAAACCATGAACAACTATATGCAAATAGATAGATAACCTCAAAATAGAGCGCTGACACGGAACTGTAGAAAATTATGGAAATCCATCCTACAATAACTGTATGATCGACTGTCGATACGGCCCATAACTAATAAATTGGCAAAAGAGCAGCGTATCTTTTTTATCGCATTTTATTACGGCTCTTTGCACTAAGGGATCCATTTGAAATAGATGTTTCAAAAACGAATTTCGTTATTAAAAATCATAACTGTTTTTTGATCAACAGCCTCCATTTCTATAAAAAAAATTATCACACTTGAATAAAAAATCATACACAGTCATAGTAGTTTGACACATAAACTTAATATATTGCTGACATCTACGGAGCGGCAGGGTTATTACGTAAAAAAGTTATATAATGTCAAAAAAAGCAACAAAATGTCAACTTGTAGATTAAGTATGCTAGCGAGAAAATAGTTCCGCGCTTGGTGCATATGAGCATCAATGATTAATCACGATAAAACTGTAGCTATGAATATAAGATATGTGAAGAAGCAATCCTGTAATGTTAACTTGTCTCTTAATGGCCACAACATCGAGCTCTCTCTGTCTACAAATTTCTTGGGCTTAGTGGTGGATTGCCACCTAAACTGGGAAACCCATATCCATAAGGTTTGCAAAAAGTTAAATACAGGTGCTTTCGTCATAAATAGTCAAAAAAATTGTGTAAGTCGTGAAACCTTAATTACTTTCTGCTATGCATTTATATACTCAGTCCTGTCATATAATAGTGTTGTCTGGGGACAGGCCTCAACTATTGACAGAGTCTTCATCACACAAAAAAGAGTCATTAGAAACATGATCAATTTATCGTTCAGCGCGTTCTGTAGGGACTATTTTAAGAAATATCAACTTTTGACCATCTCCTCAATTTATCTGCTAAAACTACTATCCTATACTCATAAAAACAAATGCTCTTTCCAAAAAAAATCACATTTTCATGATTATAACACGAGGTATAAGAACCAAATTTGCTTAGGTAAACATAACTTAACTACTCACGAAAAGTCGCCTAGATATGCTGGTACACGAATATACAATAGTTTACCAGAATCTCTTAAACAAATAGATAATGTTATGCTCTTCAAAAAGCACCTTAAGAGGTTGCTCTTATCTAACACCTTCTACAGCATATATTTATATGAGTTCCTTGCGTTTTTGAAGGACCTGAAATAACATAGTGCAATTGTCAGGAGGATTAACTTGGCATTCACATGCACTTTTTAAATTTTATGTAATCAGTCTGTCTGTTGTCCTTTTAGTTTGTTTTTTATTTCGCCTTTACGTTTTAGAAGTATTATATGTGATCTTATGACGTGTTCCTCTCTATACTTACTTACTGTTCGGAACTAATAAAGGAATTTGAATTTGAATCAAGTGAACGACAGCTAGTTCCAAGTTGACGTCTTGTGGGAAAACCTATACAGGGTGCTTCAAAACTTATCCGACAAACTTTAACCATATACTCGTATGCTCTGTTACTAAAGAAGTTGATTTCTCAAAAAAAAATGTAATAAAAGCCTAACAGAAATTAAGTTATAAACCTGAGTTTCAATAATAAATTGAAAAATAAATATCTGTATTTTGCGTTCATCGTCGTGATACTAGAACACGCATTAATAATTTATTGTAGGAAATATTGTACCAAACAACAGACGAAAAAAAAATTCCAGGAACTTTTGTTTTTTCATACTGACAAGAAGTGTAAATAAGGTTTAATCTGTATCGGGGGTGATCTGAATGAAGAACGGTCGATTTTTGTGAAGTTAAATAAGAAAGCATTTTGCGAGTTTATGTGTTTAGTTATTTATTAATAAAAATGGCACATGTGTACACTAATGATTAGTTAGTGGACATTATTTTAGCGTACGGTGGAGCAGGGCAAAATTCGCGAGCGGCTTCTCGTTTGTATGCACACCGATTTCCGCCTAGGCACATACGAGATCACGAAACATTTACTTCAATTGTTTTACGAGCACGTGCTAGTGGATATATACGCCCCAGACGAGGAGTAGGTGGGGGTCGGGTTCGCCCACAACGCTTTTTAAATGCCGAAGACGAAAATTTGAATATTTTGGTAGAAAATCCGGGAATAAGCACAAGGCAGTTGGCCCAACAGGTCCCAGAAGTGTCACATGAAACAGCGTGGCACATATTACATGAGGCCCAACTGTACCCTTATCACGTCCAGAGAGTCTAGGCGTTGCTACCTACAGACTTGTTGCAAGAAAATGCCGGTTTTACATCTGAATTTTTTCCACCGATGAAGCTATTTTTACTCGTAATGGGAGAACCAATCTTCATAATACACACGTTTGGTCCTTTGAGAATCCACACGAAGTGGTCCAGACACACTTCCAACATCGTTTTTCTTTAAACGTATAGGCAGGTATTGTTGATTAACGTCTAATCTAATTGGACCGTTCATATTGCCAGATCGGATGGATGGTCAACAGTATTTGGAATTTCTTCGGAATGAAGTGCCGGTCCTTCTTGAAGATGTGCCATTGGCGGTCCGAGCACGGATATGGTTTCTGCACGATGCGGCACATCCGGATTGTCGTTTAGAAGTTCTTGATTTTTTTAATCAGGTATACCAGATACGCTGGATCGGAAGGGGTGAACCAATTGCATGGTCTTCACGGTCTCCCGATCTAAATCCTCTCAACTTCTTTTTATGGGGATACTTAAAAAACTAGGTATACCGTACTCCATTTCAAAAAGTTGAAGAATTGTGTGACAAATCACAGTGGCTGCCGATCAATTGAGCATTCAGGTACAGCAGGAAGTAAGTGTATTTGAATTAGTGCGCCGAAATTGGATCGGACGCGCCCAAGCTTGCATTGCAGTCAATGGAAACAATTTTCAACAGCTTTTATAAGTAAGTGAACTGCTAAACTGTATTATATTAGTATCTTGATTTCTGTAGGACTCTTACTACATTTTTTTTGAGTAATCAACTTCTTTTGTAATAGTGCATATGTGGTTAAAATTTATCGGATAAGTTGTGAAACACCCTGTATAATGTCAAAAAACCGACATAGTCACGCTATTCAAGTTACGTAATACCTAGTCGAGTACTTTAGTAAGTGATTTAGTCGAGTCAATCCATTTTGTTCTATTTTGTCGGGGGGTATCATGTAAAAAACCTATAAAACGTCAAAAAAAACCTATAAGATGTCATCTTGCAAAATAGATAGTTTTTAGGGCGCAAACATTCACTCCACGTTTGCTCACTAAGATCATTGCGGACGTCCATCTAAGGAGGAATCACTCAACTAAACTACATGCATTATTGGTTGCATATGTTTTGTGAGGCCAAATGGTCCTTGTCTGAAGTTTTTGTCTCTGAGCAGAAAGTTGGTTGAATAGCAGGATCGCATCTGGATGATTTATGTGTATTGGTCTGAATGTGTATAAAGCCAGTGATATTTGCTGTGTGAGAAAATTATTACTGAATATGCTGCCAATGAAGTATATCTATTGGCTGTGCCCGACGGGTTATTTTTATGTTGCGCTTTCTGAAAAGAGTTTATGTTCAAATTTATAAACTGAGGAGAATTACGGGAAATCATCACTGCGCTCGCGTTGTGTGCAATTACAACATGTATATAACTTGTAATTCGACAGTGTACAGTGAATATAATTATTTCTCATCTCCCTCATTTTTGAAATTCAGCAAATTTGTATATGTAATTTCCAGAATGGATAAGAAAAAATGGATCGGCAACTAATGTCTAGCTTTGAATCTCAATTAAGTGTATTTGAGACAAAAACCCAATGTAATTATCATCAACACATACAACTTACAGCTTAGACCTCCAGTAATGCCATCTCAGAAGCAGATTTTACATCACATCAGAGCCAAACATTGATTACAAGCCTGATGACGTTTAGGCACGTACAACTAAGTGCTAAGATAACTTCTTGTAGAACAACCTACATAATGTCAAAAAAAACAGCATAATGTCAAAAAAAAATTGGCATAATGTCACTTTTCAAGATACGTGATACCCGTGCGGGTCCCTGTTTAGTAGTTTAGCCACTAAACAAGTCCGAATGCATCGATTTTTAGTCAAGTTCAGAGTTCATTAGCTGTTACAAAACTGTCGTTTCGATGGAGCGAAGAAACTACTTCAAAATTTGTTGGTAAATATTTAGAACATTAGTGTTTGTGGAATATCCAGTCCCCACATGATAGAAATGAACAAATGAAGCAATCTGCATACACGGACTATAATGAACATATCTGGTTTTGATGAGAAGGAAATTAAACTAAAAATCAGATGTGTGTGTGAATAGAGAACCTGCCTATAATTTTGTCTTGACGCTGAATTTGAGACTCCAATTTCATTAAGAAAATAACTTTCAGGCGTTCTTAAAGCTCCGAAGTCTTATTTGGGATCTTCTAATGCTAATTACTTTAGAAGATAATTCGTAGCCATTGGTTCTTCTCTTCTATTAATCCATTTCCTTACCCATTGCTTTTTTCCATATCACACAAATTTCTTCTTCCGTCCGTTCTATAATAGCTACTATCATGAGCTGCATTAGCTCATTCACTGTATGTTGTGTTGTGTTCATCTTGAAAAACAATACTCACTTGTACACTGTACTAGACTCGGCAGTAGCGAGTATTGTAGCTACTAAACTACTTCCCACTCGACTAAATTACTAGCCTAGGCCGACCAAGGCTTAAGTGATGTGAGCTTTTGAGTTATTACCCTCCCCCTAGTGTAGTATGCAGAACTAGGGAATGGCCTAGTAATGATTGTATAGAAGATGTCAACAAATTTATGATTTAATAGAGCCACTAATCCTTGAATATTTTATCAAATCAAATACAGGAGATTGAGTTGTTTATGTTCATGCAAATTGCTTTATTGCGTATGGCTTATACCCAGAATTTTGTTGCATTCATATATTCATTACAGGTTCAGATACCTATGTATATGTAAAATATAGGCACCCATGTGCAATCATATTCATGCATAAATCCAATTTTGCATCGGACCGCCCACACAGTTGTATTTACAGAGATCTTTTTAAAGGGATTGTATTATAATATTAATCTACAATATGTTTCCTGAAAATGCAATATTTACAGCGAAATAGAATGTTGGCATTTTCATTATGGCTTTATTTTTAGGCCTCGGTACCGCATCCCCGTAGTTAATTCCGAGCTATGGATGTTGTGTTTTGTGGGTCTACATCACGCACCCGCACGGATATCACGGATCTTGAAAAGTGACATTATGCCAATTTTTTTTTTGACATTATGCTAGTTTTGTCTGACATTATGTAGTTTTTTCTTCAAGATGTTAACCTAGCACTTAGTTGTACGTGTTGCCTAAACGTCATGAGGCTTGTTATCAATCTTTGGCTCTGATGTGATGTAAAATCTGCTTCTGAGATGGCATTACTGGAGGTCTAAGCTGTATGTTGTATGTGTTGATGATAATTACTTTGGGTTCTTGTCTCAAATACACTTAATTGAGATTCAAAGCTAGAAATTAGTTGCGCATCCACTTTTTCTTATCCATTCTGGAAATTAAACATACAAATTTGCTGAATTTAATGAAAGCGATAGATAAGAAATAATTAAATTCACTGTACACTGTCGAATTACAAGCAATATACATGCTAACAGTAATTACACACAACGCGGGCGCAGTGATGATTTCCCGTAATTCTCCTCAATTTTTCGTAGTTTATAACTTAACATAACCTCTCTTCAGAAAGCGCAACATAAAAATAACCCGTCGGGCACAGCCAATAAATTGGCAGCATATTCAGTAATGATTTTCTCACACAGCATTTGATACACATGCAGACCAATACACATAATCATCCAGATGCTATTCAACCAACTTTCTTCTCGGAGACAAAAACTACAGACAAGGACCATTTGGCCTCACAAAACATATGCAACCAATAATGCTTGCGGTTTAGTTGAGTGATTCCTCCTTATATGGACGTTCACAACGATCCTGGAATGGTTGTTTGCGCCCTAAAAACTACCTAGTTTGCAAGATCATCTTATTGTTTTCTTTGACGTTTTATAGGTTTTTTACATGATACCCATACGGTACAAGATCAACTTAGCTACATCGTATCGCTAAAGCTGAGTTATATGGTAATCAGCTAGCTTGTCGAGTAGTAGTACAGTGCTGGAACGGGGTCGGCAAAATGGGTCAAATGTGGCCATACTTCGCCTGACCACCACTACTACTACTTATGACTTCTTTAGTGGTTTTCACTTTGATTGGTATTCTGGGAATGCCTCGCATATTCTAGAACTAAGATATATGTTACAGATTACGAGATAATTCGGCCGTTGACGTTAAACGCCGGACAATGACGTGGATGAGATAAGAAGGCACCAAGCCATTGCATTGTTTGTCGCCAAAATTGCGTAGTCTTAGTACATACTTCTGACGCATTTGTCTACCAATGTGCCAGCGTTGTATTAACAAAATAATACTTACCGGTGGAAAGATCTACCTCCTTTAGGCTTGCCGCTCTTTGCAACTTATCCAAGAAGTATCTTGTCCTGAAATAGTCTAACACCACAATTACGTTCAAACACTCGCACTCTTAAAAAGTAACACTGAAAATACGAATTTAACGACAGAGCTGTCAAAAAATTAACTTAACAAATCCACTTGTAGTAAGTATATACTTTCATCCTGACTACAGACTAATGTTTTGAAGACAAACAAACCATAGGCTTGCTCCTTCTACCTAGTCTGAATTTGTTGATGAAAACATAATACAGGTGCGCTGTTAGTTAACATCATTGCCCTACAAATGACGACAAACAGCACACAATGGTGCTATAGTGGAATGTAAGGTTATGTTATATATATATATATATAACGCGAGAAGTAGTCATTGCCATTGCCAACGACCAGTTGGGCAAAAACTACAATTAAATTGTTTATTGGGGATTGGAAAAACTTATATCGTAGTGAACTCTATTGACTTAAATTTCTAGGTTTCGACAGAGTATGCTGTCTTGTGGAGCTAAAACATAAAATTGGAAATAGCAACCAATTTAGAACAAGTTTAATTTTTAATTATTTACTAGTCGATGAGGTTGCTGCTAAATGTTGTTTTATAAACAAAAGATTGGACACACTGGGCTTGTTGTTAACGACGGAACACATAGCTATGCGTTACAAACATTTATCTATAAACCCGAACGGATCAAAATGAGGAAAAAGTAATCACCTTATTAAAAAATAAAACTTCATTATTGGGCAAGAAATTTCTTTTATCACCGTATACCTATTACTCGTGGTGTCGGTTAATTACCCGAATATGTGACGTTGATGACAGGTGACAGATGTACGTCATGAAAGAATGTAAAATTATTACCAACTTAAATTATCAGGTACTGTACTTAAGAGGGCTGATTGAAAATTACATATTTTGCCAAGATGCTGAAATAGTTTTGTCTTGGCAAGTTATACCTTATATGAAAAAAAAAATATGGTAAGGACCTACTAGAAACCATGGGTTGTTTGAAAAAATTTTGTCGAATATTATAACAGATTCACTGGGCAGTTAAGGTAATTTCATTCTACTCTTCGAGCAAATTAAGCTTCAACGTTATTTTATAAACTGAACACGATGGCGATATAACGATGCTTAACATTCAGGAATATGTCAAACATATTGTTAATATTACAAAATCGTCCTCACCAGGTGCCATCTTTTAATATTATTTGCTCTGTTCTGGTTGTTTTTTTTTTTGCTTTTTTTCGTTACGAGTATTGTTAATAGTTTTCATCTATTCGTCATTATACCAACATTATTCAGCCCTTTTTGACCATTAACATGAATAACCGAACAGAGACGTTAAAATGGGAGTATTGTTAACATTGCCCGCTCGCAGTGAGCATTCATTGTAACACCCAGCGAATAATGTTAATGCCCGATTATCGCCATTTTTTGTAACGCTAAAATTGCGCGCTATTTTTGATACACGCATTTCAGTAGGTGGCGCCGTAGTAGTTGTTTAAAACACATGTGTCCAATTCATCAAGGAGCGCTACAGAATCCCACAACGCGTCCGTATTGTTGAAACGTACTTAAATAATGAGTCGATTGTTGCAACGATTCGGAAGCTACGACAAGATTTCCGTCGAAATAATGTGCCAAGTGTCAACACCATTTGGCAGTTGGTGAGGAAATTTGAACAAAGTGAAGTTAAAGACTTGCCAAGGTTGGGCCCTGTTCGAACTGTTCGTACTCAGGAAAATATCGAGAGAGTTTGTAAAAGTGTAGTGGAGCCCCCTGAGACGTCTACCATTGTTTTCCAGAACTGGGTATTCGTCGCACGTTATGCACTTTTTTTAAAAAAGACTTGCATTTGCGGCCATACAAAATTCAGTTAACCCAAGAACTGCAGCCTAGTGACCATAAAAGTCGCCGACAATACAGTCATGCAATATTGCAGCTTAATACCCAAAATAACGATTTTTACCGACAACTGATAATGAGCGATGAAGCCTACCTCGATATGAACGGATTTGCTAATAAGCAGAATTGCCATATCTGGGCATTAGAGAACCCTCGTGTCATCCATCAACGACCACTACATCCCCGTCGAGTCACAGTTTGGTGCGGTGCTTGGTACGGAAGTGTCATCGAACCTTACTAATTCTCTTACTGTCACTGGCCAGCGCTACCATGATATGGTGCAAAACTTTCTGGCTCCTCAAATCCAACAATTTAACCTGCAAAACATGTGGCTCCAGCAGGATGGAGCAACTTGTCACACAACTAGGGAAACGAATGATTTTTTGCGCACAATAGTTCCGTTACCTTCAATTTCTCGATTTGGTGACGTCAATTGGCCACCAAGGTCACCGGATTTGACGGCTCCTGACTTTTTTTTGGGGACTTTTCAAAAATAGGGTTTATGACAACAAACCGAATTCTGTAGCGCAGTTGAAGAACAATACTACGGAAGCGATTGAAAATATTCCTCCCGAAATCTACTAAAAAGTGATGAAAAATGTAATCAAGGGGGCTCAAATGTAATTTCTAAGTTTCAATAAATGATTGAGATGAAAAAATAGACATATTTTATTTGCTTTCACAAATATTCAGTATAGTCAGTTACATATCGGCCACCCCGTAGGAAAAATGTTTTTAAAGAAACGCTGCTTAAATCGATACCCAACTAGCAAAGTAGTGGTATAAGCTTTTGGTAAAAGAACCGTTCAGCCATAAAAGCTCTGTATTGTTGTTGCCTGAACACCAAAATGCTGGCTTAATGTTGTGTGGAATGCAAATTTGCTTTCTGCAACATATTTGCTCTAAAATGAGGTGTTTAAAATATTCTTATAGCATAGTCATGCAACACCTTATACAACTATTTTATACATCATATTTGCAAGTTAGTCAAAATGTCTGTGTTGTTGGTAACATTTATAAAACAAACCCGAGCCTTGTTGTTTTGCTGTGCAATTTACTACCTTAGCCAACAAATTGCTTCCAACGGAAGCACTCATACAACTGTTGTTTAGTAACTGTTAAAGGCTGTACATATTATGCTAGATATGTTGGTAAAC